CTGCTGCCGCGGTGCTCCAGGTTTGGGGCGCAGGCCGTGGAATGTGCTGCATGGCAGCCGTGGCGCTGCTCGGCGCCTGCTTCGTGCAATGCGGCCTGCGCAATTGCAGCTCGTGCAGTTAATAACGGCGCGTGAAGGGCACTTGCCTTGCAGTGGGAAACACTGACACCACGTGCACTGTATATCACCCAAATACAGGGCGCTTGGGGAATAAGGTGAAGATCTAATTGAGGACCTGCTATTTATCACTCTTCCCAGAATCACTGAGCGCGAGGCGCTTGCTTGGGGCATACGTGCTATTCTCAAGCACTTCTTCCATCGCCACTTTTTTTTCAAGGGAATAAAACATCTAACTACTTTTAAAAGTGCCTTCGACTTTCAATCATGAACATGTTGCTTATTAGGGAGATGAATTTATAGGTAATGATTTTATAGGTCTTTTATAATCATCCTTTTATAGGCAGATGCCATCAGGTTTGCATAAGTAGTGACATTAACCATTATGGCTGTAAGTGGAAATCGGAGTGCAGAAATGTAAATAACTACCGGGTTTTAATATCTAATTAGTGATGTGAAACCTTAGTGACAATATTTAATTGCCAAAAAAAGGGTGTTTTGGCACACTCATTCCAAACAGAAGAGCTGGGCTAGGTTTAAAGTGCGTGAGAAGTGGCCGGCTGGGCGCGCTGACGCGGAGCCCGCGGAGCTCCCTGGCGCCGGGGCTGCGCGGGCTCTTCGTGCGCGCGGGAGAGCGCGGCACGGAGCCGTCTGCAGGACCAGCCCGCGTGCCCGTGCCTGCAGTGGGGGATGCTGGCGTGTCCGGGGATGGGGTGACATCTCCTCACGCGTTAGTGACAGCCCTGGCCCCGCTCTGGCTGCTGGGGCACAGACCATGTGGGTGCGACGCAGCCCATGGCAGTGCAGAGCGCGGGCGCAGCCCGTGTCGAGGGAGAGCTGCCCCCCGTCCTGCGCCGGGCTCTGCAGCACGCTGCCCAGCGCCGGCATCGCGGGCAGCCTCCACCGCGGGGCCTCCGCGGGCGCCGTGCGCGTGAGGCTTCC